TCATCAACTATGACACCTAGAAATTTAATTTCATATACTCGTTCTATATTAGCTCCCCCAATTTTCAATTGAAGTTCATTATCTAGTCTACGATTCCCAAATACCATAAATTTAGTTTTATCCAAATTCAGAGATACTATATTACTGTCCCATCATCACCAACTCAGTTTGATTAACTCTTCTTCTTCCTGTTTTATTTATTTTTTTTTTTAGTGGGTGTAGCTTCAAGTTTTCTTCTTTCAAACAAAGCTTTTGGCAGAAAACCATCTTTAAAGATTATCAGTCAAGATGTTTGTCTAGTGCGCTGTGACTTGCCTGATACAAAGTTACAAAGCTCAGAGACTGTAGAAGCATGTGTGACAGACATCCTATGTCAGTGGATACATACTGTCGTTACTGTAGCTCATGTACTCCGTCATCTCAACCGCTGTCTGCCTACGCTGGCACAGCATTTACCTGAAGTCCATTTTGTATAAAGTTTCCTAAAATACAAACCTGGGCAAACAAACACCAGCTGCCTCACATTCTTGTATCTGATGTACAGTAGTAGGAGATAACAATGCTGACATGCTTGTATGACACAGTATACGGATCATTTACAACTCAGTAAAGTGAAATTCTATTTATATCCTAAATCCTAAACAATTACAACAGATTGATGATGTTGGTGGGTTAATGTTAACATCACACTCACAGACAATGTTAATATTTAGAAATGCAAAGTAAAAAGAGTGGCCCCCTGGCTGTATTGTGAGCTAAAAGTACCTAATAACTTTGAATGTTTGTGTTAGGTGTGCGTCTGTGTTCACAAGCATGTGTTTTGGTTTCAGGCTCTCAATTAGTCACCTTGTTCCCAGTACCACACACACTGTGAGCCCAAAGTGCATCGGAGAAGAATATTCACTGTGGCAGAGACGTCACTCATGTCTGGAGCTTGTGTTTGATGGAAAACAGATGTCAGACAAAAATACTGGCCTTAGTTGAGAAAAAACAAACCCCCTCATGGGTAACGTGAATGGTCAGCGTGTTTATCAGGCAGTGGCTTCTGTTCAAACGTCATAGTCGGAGTCAACAGCTTACATGCAGCGCTGACGCAGAACAAAACAACCAGAAACTAAAGAGGTTCTGTCTGTCCCGAAACTGGTTTGACTACAGAATCTTGCCCTTCTGCATTTTCTCTTTGGTGGGAGTGAGTTCTACTAAGAAATGCATTGTATAATGACTGTGACATAACAAAGTGCTCTATTTTTATATTCTTAAGATGAACTCCTAGATGCCAGTGCAGACTACAGAGGAAGACAGCTGTTGCCGTAAACCCACTGACATAGGGATGTGATTTGACTAGTCTTGGCTAATAACAAAACACTGTCCACTGTGGTGCAAAATGAGGAAACGGTGCTCTTTCTATCTCTTAATGACCAAAGCAGCCATCCTTAGGAGGCTGAATAGACTGTGTATTGAGATCTCACTGTGCCAACTCTTCTCTACACAGGCTCCTCGACTGTAGTACAAAGGAAATGGTGGATAGCTTGTGAGTCTGTGTAAAAATAGGAAGTGAGTCAAGACTCAGTCTTTCAAACAATTACCAGGGAGTGAAACAGGAAGCATGCAGGAAATGTATGTGTTTAAACAACAAAGAGGGGCTTTGATTTGAACTGGATGGTGTTGTGGGAGAGCTCATCTAAGCCGGCATTGTTGTTAGCTGTTAGCCTTTTCTGATCATGGGACTTTTATTGCGGTTGAGCGGGCTTTATGGTAATTGGTCTTGACGTACTCTATGACTGTATGCTGGCATACAGTATTTGTGTGCATTTTTGTTGTAGGGTGACTGGTGACATTCACATGAGGCAGAAAAACAAACTGCACGGCCCAGTGTAGAGAGTTTGATGCTCAACTTTATTCAAATTGGTAACCTTGATCTTGTAATTCAGATATGGAACATCTCTTTCGCCTTTTTAAATTTCTGTCCTTCCGTTTTACAAGGCAGTGCACCACACTATTGCAGCCTACATTTGAAATCAGGTTTGAATGGTCCCGATAGTCAGCTGACATGACTCATCTCACGTTTCACAGCTTTCTGTGAAGGCTGTTAGTTTGTTTTCCTGGTGTGGTTAGTCAACTTAGTGTACCCTGCTGGAATGTGATCCACAGGGCAGACTAGCAAAACCGGTTCACTATAAAAGCAGGTCATCCTGTTTCCAACCCAACAAGCACTCACTCATAAGTTTGGCTTTGTGCTTCCAAACTTATGAGCACTCAATGTCTTCACAAAGACAGACAGATAAGGAGAAGCCACTACAGTATATCTCATTTATTGCTATTTCTTGGCTTAGGAATTGGGATATGCTTAAAGGTAGGAATTACAGTAAAATATGTTTTATGTCAGAATTAGGGAAGATAAAGGAATTAATACAGTTTACTTTACTGTAGGGCCCCAAAACAGTTTACACACTCATATTGTGGGGACTTGGCTGTCCCCAGGTGCTGGTTCCCACTGTGTAAATCGCTGACGACTTAGGTTAAGGATAGGAGTAGTGTTAGGTTATAGACATGGTCAAATTTAGGGTAAGTCTCTAGGAAATTACTGTAGGTTTATGTAAATTCCCCACAAGGAAGGAAAACAAATGTGTGTGAATGGATAGGCCGAGAGGAACAGGGTTTTCCCGTCAGCTCTGTTTTTACCATAAGTATGAAGCTCCTGCCTTGTACATTTGTGACGTGCTGCTAGGGCCCTGCCAGTGGCTCCTCCTGTCTGTCTGTAAACCAAAACAGCAACTTCAGCTTATCGGATACACTGCTGATGAGTTTATTCCAGAATGACTAGAGTTAAAACTGATTATCTCAGAGATAATTCTGATAATTCAAGAAATAATTCAAAATAATTGCTTACAAAGAATGAGCAAGGTTATTATTCCATCATATTCTGGTTTCACTTTTCATTTCTTGAGTCTTACTTTGAATAAAGGCTTTTTGTATATTTAGAAACACTTTCAAACAATGCCATCATGTTTTAAAAGCCTGTTAACTCATAGTTTGTATTTGCACGTGTGTGTGTGTTTTCGACAGCCAACTGTAAGCGTGTGAGCTGGCAGCTCGGCCGGGATGGAGATGTGGCAGTCATTGTGATCGGGGAGGTGGACGAGCTGAGGTCCAAATTCATCTATACAGGATTTGAAGAAGAGAAGGAACCGACTCTTCAGAACAATGCATAGTAATAAACGTTTGTAGTAGAAACCAAATACAAGTTTCTTAAATGACAGGCTCTGAGCAACAGTGTCTCCATGTACTGTACTTTATATACAGTATAAAGAGATATGATGTGGCCTGATTGTCTTACAGCCTTCAAACTATCCTGAAGAGCGGAAATATCACAGAACCTGTGAAACCAGAGAGAGAGAATGTCCTGTCTAATACACAACCTGGAATCTCACTGAATTTAAAGGTACTGTATGTGGCTGTTTTTGTTATTGTTGTAGTTGTTGTTTCTTGTTTGTGGCCCTAGGGAATCAAATCATGTTGTCTCTCATAGTGATTCTCAAGCTGGGGAGCAAAAATGATTTAGATGATGAAAATTTCTGCCATATGAAATGTCTCTCAGGCTGTTTTAATCAAACAAAACAACCCAATAATGATATATAAAGGCTGATTTGTTATAAATATAAAAAGATTGAGAAGCACTGTCAGAGCATCTTATACCAAGTCACATAATATCCCATTGTTCTTTAATCTTTGCTTTTTTAACTACAATTTCAAGCATACTGTAACACTTCCATCACTTCCCTTACCTGCAGTGCAGTTTGTTTGATTTGATTTGATTTGATTTATTCTTTCAAGCATGTAAAGACAGTTGATATGTCAACACACATAATTTTACACATATCCAACAAATGCTAATCCAATATCAATTTGCTTATACCTAGTACATGCTTGAATGGAGTAGGAAGAAGTCAGACTTATCCAGTCCTACCCCATGAATACAGCAGACAAGAAGGATCTAATGGTACTTACTGATCTCTGGTCAGGTTCAGGTGATGAGCCCTTCTCTGCAATTCTTCTCCTGTAAGACAGAGTCCAGAATTATTTCTGAAAAACAGTTGCTATTTTTAAAAACATATCATCATGTTTAATGTTAATATCATAAAGCACAGACCACACAATTCCTCCTGAACTCCACATTTTTAAAACCTAAATTCCTTAGATTTCTCTAGATCTTACAGTGATACTTCTCTGTCAGCAACAAAGTGCATTTAAATTACGATTTTACTACATATCATCTCATAATACTGAGGAATAGTGAGAGTGATGAGTACATGAACTTATTCTTCAGGTGGCACAACAAAATCCATTGCGACCAACATTGGGGTTTGCTAAATCTACTGTATGGCAACTGTGTCAAGTTTCACTTTTCTGTAGTATATGAAACAAGATCTGAAATTCATTCATATGACTCAAGTGCCTATTTTGAGACGTACTGAATCGAAGAGTAATATATGATGTGTCGCTACCTCCTTGCTAACAGGGCACTCATCTCCTCCATGAGCCCTCCTCCTCCAGGCAGAGGGCCGTTGCCTCTGGCTTCAGATTTGGCCCCTCCAGCCCCTGGCATGGCTGCTGCCAGAGCGGCCGCCGCCTAAGTGGAACGAAATTTATTGGATATTTCAAACTTTTTTAACAAATAAAAAACTGAATAATTGGGCGTGCAAAATTATTCAGCCCCTTTACTTTCAGTGCAGCAAACTCTCTCCAGAAGTTCAGTGAGGATCTCTGAATGATCCAATGTTGACCTAAATGACTAATGATGATAAATAGAATCCACCTGTGTGTAATCAAGTCTCCGTATAAATGCACCTGCACTGTGATAGTCTCAGAGGTCTGTTTAAAGCGCAGAGAGCATCATGAAGAACAAGGAACACACCAGGCAGGTCCGAGATACTGTTGTGGAGAAGTTTAAAGCCGGATTTGGATACAAAAAGATTTCCCAAGCTTTAAACATCCCAAGGAGCACTGTGCAAGTGATAATATTGAAATGGAAGGAGTATCAGACCACTGCAAATCTACCAAGACCTGGCCGTCCCTCTAAACTTTCAGCTCATACAAGGAGAAGACTGATCAGAGATGCAGCCAAGAGGCCCATGATCACTCTGGATGAACTGCAGAGATCTACAGCTGAGGTGGGAGACTCTGTCCATAGGACAACAATCAGTCGTATACTGCACAAATCTGGCCTTTATGGAAGAGTGGCAAGAAGAAAGCCATTTCTTAAAGATATCCATAAAAAGTGTCGTTTAAAGTTTGCCACAAGCCACCTGGGAGACGCACCAAACATGTGGAAGAAGGTGCTCTGGTCAGATGAAACCAAAATCGAACTTTTTGGCAACAATGCAAAACGTTATGTTTGGCGTAAAAGCAACACAGCTCATCACCTTGAACACACCATCCCCACTGTCAAACATGGTGGTGGCAGCATCATGTTTTGGGCCTGCTTTTCTTCAGCAGGGACAGGGAAGATGGTTAAAATTGATGGGAAGATGGATGGAGCCAAATACAGGACCATTCTGGAAGGAAACCTGATGGAGTCTGCAAAAGACCTGAGACTGGGATGGAGATTTGTCTTCCAACAAGACAATGATCCAAAACATAAAGCAAAATCTACAATGGAATGGTTCACAAATAAACATATCCAGGTGTTAGAATGGCCAAGTCAAAGTCCAGACCTGAATCCAATCGAGAATCTGTGGAAAGAACTGACAACTGCTGTTCACAAACGCTCTCCATCCAACCTCACTGAGCTCGAGCTGTTTTGCAAGGAGGCATGGGCAAAAATTTCAGTCTCTCGATGTGCAAAACTGATAGAGACATACCCCAAGTGACTTACAGCTGTAATCGCAGCAAAAGGTGGCGCTACAACGTATTAACTTAAGGGGGTTGAATAATTTTGCACGCCCAATTTTTCAGTTTTTTTATTTGTTAAAAAAGTTTGAAATATCCAATAAATTTCGTTCCACTTCATGATTGTGTCCCACTTGTTGTTGATTCTTCACAAAAAATTACAGTTTTATATCTTTATGTTTGAAGCCTGAAATGTGGCAAAAGGTCGCAAAGTTCAAGGGGGCCGAATACTTTCGCAAGGCACTGTATGCATATTACTATCACACCATTTCTTTATCTTCTCAAGTTCCTGTGAAACCTGTCCAGAGAGTTGCTGTAGGTTTTCACCCGATATATAAAAACTTTCAGTTAGGGTTTTGAGCATAGCAGGTGAAAATGGAACAAGTCTTCCCCATTAAATAGCTCTCTCTGTTAAATGTAGCCTCTATTTTGTGACAAAAATAAGCGCTCACTGTGAATAATTTCTGGGGTGGTGATATCTTGGGTGTGTGCATTTTGTGTGCACAGTTGGCGATGTGTGAGCTGTTGATTTTGTAGTTGTGGGTGGGGGGCTGGGAGGGTGCCTCCTTTTTTCACGCTATCTTAAAAAGAGATTTGCTGTGTTGCCATGGCAACCCTGCACACGCTGAGCTGTAGTGAACTGGGGTGGACGGTCTCATCTGGTCTGACCACGATGGTTCTCTGATCCAAATCTGCACACTGCTCACTCAGTGGAATTATGAGCATCCCAGCTAGTCCCTGGTTCTCCTGCACTCACATTACCAGACCCACTGAGCATTAACTTGTTTTAACTCTTAACTAAGTTTTAAGCTCATTCAGATAACTGCAGTGACACAAAGTTAAGGAGGAAGTGACACCTCTAATATCATCTAACTTGGCACTGTCTTTCCCAGCAGGGGAAATGTGAGGAGATGAGCACTTTACTCCCTCTGGCGGTGAGTTGCAGCAATTACCTCCTATAACTGAGCTGTGTGCTCTCGGGTTGCATCATGGCCTGTAACACTCATGCAATGTCTTTGTTAAACCCACAGGTGTCAGTGAGTGAGTGCTCATTACCTCCAGCAGCAGAAAAGGTATTTGTGAATTTCAATAATTGCTGAGAAATTGTTCTGTATTGTTCTCGTATTTCAGTATTAGCTTTTAAAACATTCTAGTGCTCTTAGAATACATTCTAGACGTTTTATTTAAAACAAAGAATAGTTTATTTTCTATTGTCAGACACATTTTAAAACAGAGGTTCCAAGCAAGGTGTGATTAACAGCATAGTGATTCACAGTTTAGCTCTTTGAAATGTGGCTTTAGATTGCCTGCGTGTCTCCTCATGGCGTTCCCACCCTCTGTGAGTAACAGGAAATGGTGGTTAGGCCAGCTGTCCTTTCACTCCCAGCCTCTATGCAGATCATCTTTCTCCCAGCATTCTCTCTCTCTGCGCTTGGGCTCGTCTGTGCTGCCGCACCCCTCATAGCTCTCTCCGGGGAACAGCTGAACTGAACTGTCCTCCCACTGGCTCCCTCATCACTCCAGTCTTGGGTTGTCTGGGGGAGTAGGCTCTCTATCTCCCCTTGCTTTCTTTCTTTTTCTGTTTATGTGCAAGCAAATGTATGTGTGCGTGTGTGTGCAGGTGACCCGAGCTGTGAGAAAGGCTGAATCACTGAGGCAAGGCAGGATTTCTGGACTGCCCTAGAACAGATGGTTGATGAACTTGATCAGGGAATTAAAACACCAGAGATAGAGAGTGCGTCAGTCGCAGATGGATGGGATTGTGGGATAGTCTCCTGAGGTTTGGACGCGTGAGCTCTCCTCTGTTCTCAGTTTTTCCCTTTTCCCTCTTTGCCACAGAAGGAAATGTCTCTCCCTCACTTCTCATATCTAGACTCTTTATATCACAGGCCCCAACACATCTCTGGCCAACCCATGTTGATGTGGCAATGAACATCAACACCTTAGAAGGTTCGCCCTGTTCGACAGCCAAGAATTCACAACCTAAGCCTTCCCTTAGGAGAGTCATTATTTTGTTGAATGCATTATTTGCAGTTTGAATGATTTGCTCCTGGAAACAGGAAAAGGGGGCTGGTTTGGTGCTGCAGATGCACTGTAGCGGTGGCTGTTGCTAGTGCTGCTGCGGGTTTTCTCCAGTTGATTTAGTGAGGGAAGGAGTCAGTCTGTGAGAGGAGGAGAGGGAGAGATTGTTGATTAAGAAGGCGTAGATCAGGAAGGAAGATTAGCGAGGCAGCTTGATTTTCAAGTCACCTTATAATTTTCTCTCCACACGTTCTTAAACTCGTAATCAGTGGTCATAGTTCTGTGTGTTTCATTAGGGTGCAGTGTAGTCAATGGACAGCTATAATTTGGTGAACCATTTATCCAATGATTTAATCAAACATGACAGTAATTCCACTGTATGTGAATTAGCTGTCAATACTGATCGCACTCTCCTGTCTTCTTTTGTCACTCTTCCCTCTACAGCCCGAGGTGGTGTCACCCAGTGTGACTGAGGAGAAGTTGTTTCTTCAGTCCTCCATCTGCTCCAGGCCTCCCATGAGAACTAGTGCTGTCAAAGTGAGACCGGCTTCTGCAAATCCGGCACCAGGCTCTGTCAACACGAGACACGACCTTGCAAATCTGAGGCTGCTCTCTGCCCAATCACTCCTTTCCTCCAGCCGCACTGTCAAAATAGACTCTGGAACAACAACAACCACCAAAAGTGGGCTGCAGTCACAGGAGCCTCAGAAGCCCCAGGTGTCATATGGTGATAAAGGTAAGTGTGACTAACATCATGAGTAAGGGTACGAGTTGAATCTAATGTCAGAATAAACAGATGAAAAAAATGTATTATTAAGCATTTGTTGGTTGGTTATTGTTCACAGTATAACTAAAAAAGTAATGAATGGATTTGGATTACATTAATTGGAGGTAAGGTATGGCGCACATGAGAATCCATGAGGTTTTGGTGCTGACCTGGACCATCATGCGGATCCAGGAATTTTTTTAAAGGAATCTTCACTATTGTGAGATAGGACCAATTTCAGAATTTTGGTTCTGAGCACAAAAATTGCTCAATAACATCCACATAAAATCTACCACACATCAATATATGAATATATCAAACTAATAATGAAATCAATGTGATTCCAAATGCTAGCTGTAAGTGAGGGTCAAACTATTATCAAATATTGCTATTAGGTGTAATGGCATTTTGGGGAAACTGCCTTGGCAGAGGTTTGTGCTCTCTGAGTGCTGCTCTCCTTTAATTCACAGATGTGGATGACAAACTGAGTCTACAGTATTGTAAATACCTTACATGACAATGTCCACAACAAGACAGCCCTTTTCCACTGCTTCTTCTCTGAGAGTAATAATGGCAGTGGAGAGCTGAGCAGGACCAGTATGAACAAAGCTCATAGTAGATAGGCTTCTCAGTGCTGCAGCAAGGAAGAAGGATTTATTTCCCCAAACCTAATGTGCTGGCCAAATAGTGCCTCAGCCCGCTGAAATCTTTATGGACTGGCAGAGTAAAAAGCAGCTAGCCTGGGGGTGGGTGGGGGGGGGTTACTGAGATTTGTGTCATGGTACCACATCACCCCTGCACACCTGCTTGGTTGGTAGATTCTGTATTGTAATGGCAGTGAAACTGTCAATAAACTCTCTAGACTGCACTGATATGCATGGTTGTTTAACCAAATGAAGTCTGATGCTAGTGCACAGTGATCGCTGTCCACTGATCACTGACCCATTAGAGAACTATTTAATAATGTTTTATGTAATGTGGGCTGTAAAGGAGCAGACCCCCCCCCCCTAAAAGCATCCTGCAGGCGGGAACAAATATTCAGTTCATATCTGTGATGTGAAAATTAAGTTACTTGTTTTGATGATTTATCTGCATTGTTTTGGATATACTAAGAGATGCATGAGAAGCAACACCACCAGTTTATACCTTATGAACTACTCAGTCTTTACTGGAACTTGCGTTGTATTGCTTGTGTTGTCTGGCAGCCTTTGCTGTCATGAAGACAAGTAAGAATGGGTAGCTTGATGGGAAAGTTAATATTAACTGCACCCGTCAAGTGTCACATTTAAACTAGTTTTCACATTTTATTTAGTTTTTCACAAACCAGTGGGATACTGTGGCCCACTGGCTCCTACAGACGTCTAGTCTGGACACAGCACCCAATTTCATAAACTGACCAAACACTCAATCACCATACAGTGATCCAGTTATGCAGAAAAGTGAGAAGTGGGGTGAAGTTAGCACCATCCAGTGGAAAACAACGAGACTGTTGTAAAGAGTCCATTTGGATAGAAAATCTCATCTCCATAAGGTCCCTCTGCTGGAAAAAGTTCATCCTACATCTGAGTTAAGAGATACTGTATATTCATGCACATAAACAGTACCTTGTTCTAAGAACGTGTTTGAGATTTTCTGTTAGGAAACAGCGACAACAAAAGCATTTGCAGGTAGAGCTGAGTGATATCACTCGCACAAAAAGCCAAAGTCATTCTCTCTGTTGTCGATCATAAAGAGAAAAAACACTTCCATATGGACGCAACTGAAATATAAAGGCATCACTGATCTTGATGCAAGAAAACAACTTTTTCATATTTGAACAGTGATTGTGAGAGGTCATTTCCACGGTTACTGTAACTAGTGTAGTTTGAGATGAATGTGGAATCAGATAAATGATCAGGTTAACTTCATACTGTCAGATAAAGTAAGTGTAGACCCCCTGCAGTCTCCCAGTATAATGACACAGTGATGGATAGCTCCTCAAGGTTGAGTGTCTTTGCATTCGTTTGCCTCCAGGTTATCCACCACTTGTTGAAGACGGCAAAATTGACAAAAAGATCAATCCTAAAACTGTTTCTGCAGATTTGTCTCCCTGGCTTTAGTGTCTGGTTCATTGTGAACACTTCTGGTAGTCCATTTTAGATTTTGGAGGAAATCTCACAACAAGCCAGACACAAGAGAGCAAAGAAGCTCCTCACAATGTCGTCAAAAGAAGAGAATACTGGAAATATTTGTGAACTCATGTTCGCACATACCAACTGAGCTAGTCTGAGCTGAACATAGAATATCACAATCAAATCAAATTTCTCGTTTAATGCTGCAAGTAAGAAATCTGTTTGGGCTCAGAGCATTTAAAGTGATTTAGCCGTTGAATCAGGAACAGTTTCACAAAACCAAAAAATACAATTCCAATACATTTTGGTAGCACGGGCGTGTTAATGTTTGTGTGCCTGCGCCCACATTAGTGGCTGGATATGAGATCAGTGGGCAATGCCAGAGCAGCATACAACAGATGAATGGAGGGAAGAGGAAAAAAGGGAAAGGGAAAGGAACAGCTGGTGTGGTGGGAGTTAAGGTGGGCTGAACACAGTGCTGAATAAATGTGTCTTGACTCTGAACAAAAAATACTGACAGTGTCTGTCTTTGACAATGGCAGGAAGCGTGTTCCAAAGGGAGGAGGAGGCAAACTAGGATAAGTCTCATGCTTCAGCTGTTTTCTTTTAAATGGGAGTAATGACAAGGATTTCTGCATCCTGTGAGCAGTGACTGTGGCCCACGCAATATTTGTAGAAGATGAAATTAATAATCTGCCGTCATGCCTTTAGCCACTGAAGAAAGACTAAACTTGTTGTGACCTCCTGAGTATTACACTTGAGAACTTAGAATAGTGGCAAATAGTAATAGCTGTTTTGGTACAGGGTGAGGTGGTTAGCGCTGTTGCTTCACAGCAAGAAGGTTCTGGGTTTGAGCCCTGGCCGACCCAACGCCTCTCAGTATGGACTTTGCATGTTCTCCCTGTGCCTGCATGGGATCTCTCCGGGTGCTCCAGCTTCCTCCCACAGTCCAAAGACATGCAGCTTTGGTTGACTGGTGACTCTAATAGCCCATAGGAGTGAGCGTGAGAGTGTGTGTGGTTGTTTGTCTCTATGTGTCAACCCTGTTATAGACTGGCAACCTGTCCAGGGTGCACCCCGCCTCTCACCCAATGTCAGCTGGGATCGGCTCCAGCCCCCCGTGACCTTACTCAACATAATTGATATAGATAATGGACAGATGGATGTTTTGTTACACCAGAGAGGACAATAAAAGTTTAAGTATGGTCAAAAAATGTCAGGAATACAACATGCAGAATAAGTAATCAGATTTAGTTTTTAATTTTATTTTTGCAGTTTGAATTGCAGCAGCCAGGATAGCTGAACTTTAGAACTTATTGCTGTATGTTTAAATTTCAACATGTGCATAAATTCCAAGTAATATTTCCCCTAACATTAGCATTAATGTAAGAGGTACAGTAGTCTACAGCTGAACCTAGACATGCAGAAATGTGTTGTGTTAGTGTTTTGTGTGTGTCATGATTTGAGCATATGTTCATGAGCATGAAAGTGTCAGTCTCCAGCAGCTGTCAGTATATGTTCTTTTGTATGTGTGTGTGTGTGTGTGTATGTGTGTGTGTGTGTGTTCATGTGTATAAACCTTTCTCTGTCTGTTGGTCAGCTTTCCTCTTCTCTCTCTTCACCTTCAGAGAGAAGGACACGCATTCCAGTGCTGCTTCCCGACTCTAGCCCTGGGCGACTCTCAGCCAGAGCTGATAAGTGACAGGGGCCCCAGCTACCACGTAGGAGGGCCCCTCCCTTGCTGCTATGCACACACACACACCTCCTCTACTCCCTGCCCCTCAGTCCACAGACATGTTGCTTGGGAATTCTGCCCTCTGCCCTACTTCTGCCCCCCCACATCCCCACCCGAGCACCCCCTCCTCTCTTTCTGCCGGAGATGTGGAGGTCTTTAAAGAGATAGATTAGTCTTTAATTTTTGTGGTAGCCTGGTCAGTGACACTGCTTCCCGCCCCCTCCTCTTTGTCCTCTATGTACATTTACAAGTTGAACTGAGTGTGAAGAGAGGCTTCCAAAGGCTGAAACAACACATTAATCAATCCTGACAAATGATTTAATGTAGAGATCCTCTTTGAAATAGATGTTTTCATATGTAGCTTTAATGACTGTTTCTGCTGACAGAACTAAGCCTGCAGCTGCTGAATAGAGTTTCAGGCAGGTGTGGGGTCTGAGCATTTTTTGGGTGTGTTAAGACAGGTTAGTCAGGTTACTTGTGGGAAGGTATTTGGGTTTTGCTTCAAAACAAATTCTCAGATGGTACATATAGCTACATATATTTATTTTATTTCTTTACAGCAGACCAAGTCCAAAACATCAATTCTCCCTCTCCTTCTCTTTGTCTCTTTGTGTCTTTATTAAGCATTCAACTCAGACCTGCACCAAGGCTCTGAGCTCAAAAAACTCTCTGACCATGAGTGCGTATGTGCCTGTGTATGTGTTTGTGCGTATCTGTGCGTGTGCACTCAGTGCGTGCCTGAATGTGTGTCAGCCTCAATTGCTGGATCCTATCCAAGGTTTCCGTGGTGACCACACAACACAACGAGACAATCAGAGGCAAGCCCACGCAGCGCGGCGAGAGGACATTAGCACAGGAACCGTGGGTCAGAGGGCAGAGGAAGGCAGGGCAAGATAGGAGGGAGAAGAAGATGAAGAGGAAGGTGGAGGGAGGTGTTAGAGCCAGAAGGAGAGGGGCGGGAGAGAGTGAGGGTGAGAAGAGAAAGGGTAGTAAACAACAATAAACAATAACACGAGCTTAAAGGCTACTCCAGGTCTTACACTTTCATGCCTGCAAGACAGCAAGAGCTTTAAAGGTTTCCTCGCCCCAGGAGTGCCTGTGTGGTTTTGGCTGCACCCTACCTCTGTCTGTGTGTGTATGACTGCTATGCTGTGGTTTTAGTCAGAGATGGCTGCATGCGTGACTGGATCTATGAGTAGGAGGGCTGTGCAAGCGTGTATGTTTGTGTGTGTGAGAGAGCATGCACGGACCTGAATGTAACGTGAGATTGTGCGTCTGTCTTTTGAAATTCAGCTGTTAGAGATGGTGTGTACACTTGTGCATGTTTTCACTTTATTTGGTGCGTATGTGTGTGTGAACGTATATGCGTCTGCAAACGTGCACGCTGTTGCTCTCACATATCTCTGTCCCTCGGGGATGGCGCTAAAAATATGTGGCTCCTCAAGCCTTCTGGTGTCTGAGCAGCGTCTGTCTGCTCTCCATTGCTGTCCCTGTGGCCCTCCCTCCCCTTCGTTACTCCTGTTCCCTCTGTTCCTCCCTCAATTACACCCTCTTCCAAGCACAGTACCTCAGCAAATACACACACACACCTACACCCAGCTGTGTCCCTCCTATACTTCTACTGAGAACGACCTCTGCTCAGTCAGTGTGGGATAAAGGGAGGCAAATGAAAATGAGGAAAAATATAGAAAAGAGTGAAGAAAGATTTAGGCACAGTATTTGGAGAACAATCAGGTAACGTTGCAAGGAAGGATTTCTGCTTAGAGGTATATATATATGTTGAATGTATATGTTTCACTGAAAAAAGAATACATCAACTTAGACTGATTTTCACCTGGATTTTATGTTCCTGTGCTCCCATAACGTGTTGCATTTCCTGCTGCAACAAATCTCTGACCATTGTAGTTTACAGTAAACCCTCTTTGACAGGCCCAGCCTTGAAATTCTATTTATAATATAATAAAAATATAATATACAGTGACAGGAAAATGAGAAAAAGTACAAAAAGTTATGATTATGTACTAAAGTCCCTAGTTTATTCAGAATCTTAATGAAGTAGATATTTGTAGTATATACATATATAGTAGATACAGAGAAGAGCAGTTGAAGGAGACTGTGAGATAAATGTCAAATATCCATCCATCCATTTTCTAAACCGCTTAGTCCCAAACGGGGTCATGGGGGGCTGGAGCCAATCCCAGCCAGCTGCGGGCGAGAGGCGGGGTACACCTTGGACAGGTCGCCAGTCCATCGCAGGGCTAAATGTCAAATAATAAAGTTACAAAAAAGCTTTGAAGTATTCTCCAAGCTATATTTTTTAAATGTGGAGTTGTGTATCATTGTTTTTCCCCCATATGTCTGAGTTCCTAAGGAAATCTCATTCTCGTTCTTTCAGATATTGGTGCATCAGAAGAATCTCAGAGGGCTGCCACATTGGATGCCTGGTCACTTGGGAGAAGAGGAACCTTGTCGGGACGTGGCCGAGTGGCTCAGCTGATGAAAGCCTTTAGTACCGAAAACACTACGAACCCCACACAAACCCCTTCTCGTGGTATCAAACCTCCTCTCCCCACCAAGCCTAGTCACTTGCATCTAACGACCACACCTACTGTCAGGTAACCCGTACACACTGAACCACCAGCAGCCACCCAGCTTCATGTGTCCATGCTATTTAAGGAAAGCTACACCGGACACTGTTGGACACCTAATGCAGTGCCTCACCCACTGGGCTAATGGGAAATGGTAATGTTCACGCTGTTGCCACAACTCCCAAAGCACAGCAATGGAAATGCTTGAATGTAATGGTTTCCTTTTATATTTGGATGCTGCAGTACTGTAAACACTCTTTGTGGGAAGGAAGTTCCAAAGCAGTTGATTGCAATTGAATACTCTTTTTGAATAACAAACAATTCTTCTACCTTTCATGTATTTGCCAGGAAATTGATGGCTATCATATGTATTCACTTGTTGTTGATGCTTTCCATTTTGTGTAATGCTGGAAAAACACACTTTCACAAACACACACATTTTTGAGCTCGATTCACAAAGTCTGCACACAGAATATTGTTTACTTACAAATACAATTATTTTCATCACTTATGAAGCGGTTTGCATTAGCTCATGTGCAGACATGTGTGAGGAAGTTATTTTTCTTTTGATTTTTTTTTAACAAAAAAGTGGGGTAGGCTTAATGGGGTGACATTAGGTACAGTTTCCTCCTTCATCTTACTCTCCTCCTTGGGAATAGTATATGGTTGTTTATTTGTCACAATGCAATGAACATCTCCCCCTGCCACCTGGCAGGAGCCTCGCTGCGACCTGGTGTGGACCAATGACAGTGCCAAATGCCTCATCTGTCACTCCCAGTGGATCAAATCCTGGCATGTTGGACAGTCACTGCCAATAATCCAACTCTGAGTTACTTTTCTACATTTTTTCCATATTAGTTTTGATTTGTGTGGGGCTTTTTTTTCCACATTTGCTATACAAAGATGTTTTGTAATGGGATATTTAACACTATTCTCACTTGTAAAATGAGTTACACCTTTATCTTTGGTGTCATGTTTGTATGGTGTGATCAAAGAAACAATAAAATTATGAAACATTTGGTATGTTAAATCTCTTCCTCTGTTTATGTCACTAACTTCTATCTTGTAACTTGCTAGCCCTGATTTGCACAACGCAACCTGCAACACAGGCAGGCTGTACAGTTTGGAACTAGTTCACTGAGAATATGTGTAATTTTTGAATGTCCAGCCACTGCATGCTTCACCAATGCCAATGTAAAATTTTTCATTTGAATTTCAACAGGGCTGCCCACCCACCCTCAAGCTTGTTATTTCCGTGCTCAGACATTTTTTTGCTTAATTTCCAGTAAAAATGCTTTCCAAGCTTGCGAATAACATTTAAATGTTTGCCACTGCCAAAATTATGAGGCATATTTTCACATTTGTATCTGTGATTTCCATTGCAAATTGCAGTTACCTCAGCTAATGTTTGGCAGCTGGCTAATCTGTTTAGAGGAAAATCTCCGCTGTAACAAATAAGCTGAAGAAAACCAACACACCTAAACTGTATACACTGATGCATCACTCAGTGATTAATAATGGTGTGAGAAATGCCTTCTGCTGCTGTAACGTATCTTCATTAACAACATTTAGACAGCAAGCGTTTGTCTCTCATTTATCTGGCAGAATAAAGTCAATTTTATAAATTTCATTTGGTCTTGAGGTGCAATGCACCTGTGTCAAAGGAGCGAAAGGATTAAAGTTTAAATTGATAGAAATTTAAGGCGAGAGTTATATAATTGCAAAATGAAGCATTTCCTACTTGTAGATGGCCCTTCAAAGGAGATATGATGAAAAGCAACATCCATACATATGTGCAAACACATTAACGTGTATACAATCAGATATAGCAAGACAGAGAGAGCAGCGGTGTTTCATGGCACTACAATGGTAACAATAAGCCTGTAATGCAATACCCTGTTACAGTACAGTGGGGTACATCAATCACTGTGTTCTCTACAATAGTCAATTGTGTTGAGATGTTCAGAAGACAGCCGTTCATCAAGACTCTTTCTTTTTTCAGCCAGTTGCATTCATAAACACAAACACAAAGTATCATCATCATCGTTCTATTTAGTATTTTCTTTTTTTTTTATCACAATGAATGGGTAAGTGTTCTCCATCTGGAACCAGATGTGCCTCTGCAGGGGCCTCATATCAGACCCTAAAAGAAGTTCCTCTTTGGCTTTTGTTGTTTTCAAGAACACCTTGTGAAGACAAATGGCTGCCTTGATAAATGTAACTACAGTTGTGAAGCATGTGTGCCTTAACTTGTGTTTTGCCTCACTCTTGCAGAAAAATGTCATAGAAGACAAAGAAGGGGAAATAGTCCCATTGAATGTAATTATTAATGTAGTTGTACATTAATATTAAAAAATGTCAGAGCTCATGCTTCATACAATATATATGTTATTTTGTATTAAACTACTGTTAGTCAATATGGTAGCGTACACAGTAGGTCAAACTTCACTTGTGCTTGATGTACATCTAAAAATGTTTAGAATGTGTAAAAGGTTCCTTGAGTAAAATGCTAACATACCTATTAGCATATGCTAAGACAACTAATTTTGTCTAAGGCTGTTTTAATACAGTTGAAAAAGCACGACTACTGTACACTTGACCTACATGTAGTATCTGTGTCATTTCACTGCTGAAGTCATAAGACTCTGGAGGCAAAGCACGCATTGAAAACAATGTGCTGCTCTCCCACATACACATGGATCTTGTTTTATCTGTGTGGGCACCATTGTCACTATTAGATTGATGTTCACTTGTAAAAGGTGCATTGGACAAAGAGCCTGTAGGAAGCCCACATGTCTCAGTGCACACTGTTTATAATCAAATTTATAGAGGGCTGTCCATCTTGAAGACTTATAGCATACTACATCATGAGACATATAACTGCACACACACTGTAGGTGCTTGTGCAACATGCTGAAAAATGCTGAAGCTGGCAACTGTGCGATACCGCTTAGATCTCTGTATTCCAGTGAGCCCAACAATGGCTCTGGCTGTTCTCTGATGGAGCAGAGACATCGTTGAGCAGTTTCAAGGAGATATCTGTGGCGAGTCCCTTGGTATGCCCCCCACCCCCCACCCCACACACGTCTCCTCTTCATCCACTGAGGCTGGCCGCTGCTGTCGTCAGGGCCCTCCAACGGGAGATTAAAAAAAGAGACAGCTTTTCTCTCCTCACAGCAGAGACGGACGCCTGTTCCTCTCTTTTTTCCCCCCGCCTCACTCACTTCACACCCATAGAGGGGGAAGTGAATGGGGAAGAGAGGGAAAAAAATTGCAGTGTGGAGGAAAGCAAGAAAACTAAACTGTGCTGTGGCGCTCCACCACACCACCAATAACCGCCCCACTCCTTCTCCTCCTCCTCCACCATCAGCCCTATCCACAGCACCCCCAATAGAGAGAGAAAGAGCGAGAGAGGAGAAACGAGAGGGGGGCCGGGGCCATGTGATACGAAGAGCATGTGGGCACAGCTTCACCCCCAGGCAGAATGAACGGGGGCCTGCTGTGTCTCTCCTGCATGATTAATCTGGCTGAGGGGCAGGAGGACTGCCACAGCCCTGCCTGCATTAACTCCCTACTCTCCAGGTCCACATGAAAACACACACACACACACACACACACACCAACTAAAACACCAGCAGTAGACCCATGGTCAGACACAGGTTGATGCGTGTGTGTGAGCAGCTAATAAAGAATAGGGACTGTCACTGAAGTAGATTCCTATTGAGGTATCAGATTCTGGCCCCATTAAGTTTAACTGTGTACGTGTCTTTTGTCAAGGCCTGCATCTCATTGTCATTTATGCACTGACACAACACCAAACTGTGAAGAGCACCATGATGTGACGCCAGTCAGCAGTGTTGGTTTTTAGGTAATTCTGGGTGTCTGTGACTCATCCTCTCATGTGACCTCTGTTTCCCAGGCAACATTGTGGATGTTTGTTGGTGCCGGTCTTGTCTGTTGTGTAATTCATATGGTGCAGATGGTCCAGGAAATGTGGCTTACTACTTACTTCAAAATTCTCCCAGACATAGAGTATCTGGCATGTGATGGTCAAATTTTCAAATCGCCATGACAGCTTCGGAGGGTTGCACAGCAGGCCTGTCATATTGTCTCACAGTATTACACTCAGCTAATGTAGACGTGATACCAGAAAATAATATACAGTATACTGTACTGGTCCCTCCCACAGCTGGAAGGAGTGATTTCTTCCACAGACTGTCCTGGAATGGTCTAGCCCTGAACCACTGTGGTACAGGAAATGTTGCAAGAACTGGGTATTGTGCAACAGTGGAGACCAAGCATCAAAAGGCAGGCAGAGGGTTAACATCCCGCAGTCCACTCCACATTAACTGGAAAGGAGTGAAGTGTCAAGCATGTTTTCACCACAGCGAGACGGTCAAAACTCTACCCCCACCTCCTCCCACTGACCAGTTACACCTCAAACCTCTCACAGCCATGACCAAATTATTTTCCAGCCTCCCGAGATTTGCCATGCCAGACAAAAATCTGCAGAACACGTCTTGATTCACTGAACAAGCAAAGTCAGCTCCTCTTGTCTCTCAATGTCTTTCTGCCACCACCAAGAAAACAGGCCTTCATTTTCACCAACTTGGCCTCTGTTGTGATAACTCTTTGTGTGTTTACTTGACAGATGTGACATGATGCAAACCAAACAAGTTGCCTTTCTGTTTACTTTCTTAATCTAAATAATGATTGTTAAAGTGACCTGTACTGCAAGAATTAAACGAATAAATACAAATACAGGTATACAGGTGTTCTGTTATGAAGCAGTGGAATGAAAGTATTGAATAAGCGACAGAGACGAGGACAGGGAGGAGTATAGGACAGAAAGAGGACTGAGGCTTGGTGATTGAGAGAATAAGTAGAATGAGAGTAGAATGAGAGTGAGGAGAGACAGAACGAAGGAGGGAGAGAGAAAATAAGCCCCACCAGTGAGCAGGCCACACAGCCCTGCCAAACTGCCTGAAAAAAAAGCCCCCTCTGTTTTATTTATAGTGCGCTGTATCCATGGCAACCAGAGAGGTCAGGCAAGCTGGGCCTGCGCTTCACCCTGCTCTGGGGATTAGGATTTCACAGAGGTTCTCAGATGTGAGGAAGGTGGGCTAAAGCGGCTCACTGCTCGCCAACGCAGCCCTCCTGTCTTTTGGTGAAGCCTGGGCCTTTCGAGGGAGAGCAGCAGAGAGTCATGGGAATACTGTGGGAACAGTGGTTTGTGGTGATGGGGTTGGGAGGAAGGAGACTAGCATGAAGGGGAAACACACACATATTAGCAGTTGCATTCAGGGGCTCTTTTGATGAGGTGCTTTCTGTCACATGAAGGCTTATTGGAGCTTGTTCTTTTTTTACTGGTTTGTTTCTTATAGTAGAATTATAAAAGGTCATGCAAGGTCATGGGAGATGTTCTCTTTTGATAAGATACATTAAACTTTTCTTCAATTAATATTTCTTGTATAAAAATACAAGAGAATGATTAGGGAAAAAAACTGATACTTGAAATTAACAAAAGAGTATTGGGGGGTGTTTCATCGCAAGAAAGACTCTTTCCAAAACAGCTAAGCCAGCTGGAATAAAGTACTGGGATGAGAGAAGCAGAGAGAGGTAGCATGAGAGTGAAGGAGTTAGAGAAGAGATGAAAAAAGCTGATTGCCCTCCAGGAAATGCATGGTGTGACTACAGCAGAGACCTCCAGATTCCTCCTGGGGCAGAGGACGTGCGTTGCTAGGAGATGGTTGTTGGGCTGGTGTTGCCATGCGTGGATGCTGTTGCCTGCCATGCTCCGATGTGCAGGAGGACAAGGATTCAATACTCTTTCAGGGAGTATGTGTGAGGTGACAATTTAAGCGCCATGGAGAAAAATCCAGCAGCATCATCAGAGATTAGTAATGGCTTCCCCTGTCTCTAAGGGGCAACCTCAGCACCTGGGTCACAGGGCCAGCAGAGCAGTTGTCCCTCTGGACC